GGCCAGGCAGAACCGTGCCTACGTTGTTATTTTTGTGCAGTTAGGAGCCTGCGATAGAGCAGATCTCATCTACAGAGAGGTGACAGGATGCTGCAAGGTCCTCCTCCCTGTAGATGAGCTGTCCCTGGCCTGGGAGGTGAGAAAGGAAGGTGAAGGTTACCTCTGAGTCGTGTGGTCCGTTAGGTGTCTGTGGACAGGGCTAGAATGGTGGATTTATTTTTTTTGGTTTCTCAGCAGCGATTCCTCTGTGTTAGGAATTCCTCCCCCCAGGGGATGTCACATTCAGACACGTCTGTGAGAGGGGTTGGGTCTAGACGATCAGCTCCATCCACCTTTGCTGTACAGAGCCAGGGATAACCTGGGTAGCATCACTCGCTATAGATAGGATAGTGCCAGCATTGACTCATACATGCCACTTATAGATAGGCAGCTTTATAGGACACACCGGTATCTGAGCTTAAGATCTTTTGTGTTGCTGCACAGTGTTTAGTACTCTAGGCTGCATAGGCACATAGCCAGATCATTGTTGTAAGAGATTCCTTCTCTATAGAGGTTAAATGAGGAGAGTGGATGTTAAAGCAAAGTAAAATATATAAGTCGCATTTGTGTGGAACCACAAATCCCAGTATAGATCTACACACTTTATCATATGGTAGCTGTTATGCCGTTGCCAAGTCCAGTCTTGCTGGCATGTGTAGTTCAACAGTTGTAAAAAATCATCTCTAATGCATTTATCTTTATTACAAGTAGTTTATTGCAGGCTTTGTGTGCCATAGCAAAATCACCCTAAGAGATGCCTTCTCTATAGAGGTGAGCAGGGAAGAGTGTGTGTTAAGCTGAATTGTTGGTGGTACTACAAGTCCCAGGCACTTCATCATATTTTAGCATCCTACCTTTATGTGTTTGCCAAGTCTGGCCATGCTGAGACTTTTGGTTCAACAGCTGTTAGATACTCAGGACACAGCTGTCTAATGGAATCATATATTTTAACTTAACAAAGTTGATACATCAGCTGCATAGTTAGCAATGGAAAATAATTTTATAGCTCTGTAGAGTTCTTGGGGTTAAAGTGAAGTGACCACTTGGGTCACAAGGATAAGCTTTTCAGGTCCGGCAGGGGTGAAAGCCATGAGTTCAGGAATGTAGACCAGACACTATTCCTTCACTATGGTACTTTGATCCTGCTTCTAGTTATCATGCACACTATTGGACTATTGGCAAAATAGTGAGATTTGTAGGTGGGTACCTTGTTACCTGGGTACAGTTGTGGACTCAGATTTAATGCCAGTGACTTGGTATAAGATAAGCAGTGTACAGTACATGGAAGAATGGGCTACTGTGTGTAAGGCTCTGAGCTGTGCTTGCGGTCTTGTGTTTTTCTAGTACAGACAGTAGTACATACAGTAGAGTACTGTGCTGAATGTCTGCCTTCCGCCCTCTTCTGGTTTCTCTTATTCAACAAGTCCTAGAAAAGGTGAACTAAGGATTCTTTATACTGTAGAAAAGAAATCAAATCCTCTCAAATGATTACAGGCAGGATAAATTAGCAATGTGACAGTGTGCTGCCAGTGTTTTCTATGAATGTAAGGGACAGTGTGGCTTATCTACAAACTACATACACTGTGTTAACTGGAAAGGTATCTCGGCTGTATATTAAAGTCAATCTGAACTCTAGATGGTTTTAACAAAGTCAGTTTTGCAGAAGTGGTTTCCAACTTTGCATAGCTTATTGTAATTTAAGATCACTGAATGCATTTAAAGAAAAATGTGTCATATCAGTGTTCTTTTTCCCTTACTCTGAACGTATTTGGCAGTTTAACATTTTTAACTAATGAATTTCTAAAAGCATTGAACATTTGATGTAGAGGCTGGTTCCAAGACAAGCACACATTTTTTAGGCAGGAACTCATTTTAAATTTGAAGCATTTCTATATCTGTAAAATCACAGATTTCCCTTCATTTTAAAATGTAAAGACTTGTCTGTACTCTTGAAGGCATAGGCAGACTACCTAATGTATTATTTCCTTTGTCTGGAATGTTTAGTGGTCTGCACAGCAGCATAATTGTATGGTATGACATGGTAAAAGAGTCAGAATAGTAAAGGGACCAAAATAAATACTTCCATTCTCTATCATTAGTTTGCTAAAGAAATTGCCATTTACACTCTAGTCTTCTCAAAAGAGCCAAAAATGACATATATTTTAGCAGGCAGGATTGCTGACACAGCTCAGTGATTCGATCTGAAATTAGTTACTTAAGCTATGCCAATTGAGTTCTGGGTTGTCTTTCTACTGCTTTATCATGCCATAGAGTAGTATTAATTTACTTACAAGAAATCAGGTCACAAAGGATGCTTACTCAATTACTGTTTTGCTATAAAACAGGCCTACAACTATGATCAGTAGGCCCATCTGTCTGACTAATATGTTTGTCAAATATGGGTTTAATCATCAGCCTTTGGAATGGTTACTATGTGACCTATTGTTTTCATAAGTAGCACAACTCATTCAATAAATTGATTCTAAGTTATATTCATTAGTTTATAAATTAAAACCAGGCTACCAGAACAAATAGCTTTAAAATATGTTTGCATACCACTGAGGGTGTAATTCATCCTGTAGTGTACTATAGGCTCGCTTATATTGAGGCCCCTTAGGATCCCAGACATGTGGAGACAGGAAAAAAAAATAACACTAAAATAAAGCTTAGCTTGAGGATACATGTAAAGCGTGTCTGTTATGAATAAAATCCAAAAAATAAGCTTGACTGCTAAAATATATTCAGCAAGTGTTACAATGTAACAACTCAATGGTTTTAATTTTCCATACAAAAATGTGTATTTTTTTGTGATGTAAATACCATATATTTCTCCTTGCTAAAATACTTTTTTTTTCAAAGTCAAAACCACTAATGTGGTTTTATGCAACTGCAGATGAAACAAGCACTCACACAAGGAACAGAATGATCTCAATGGGATGGAAACAATAACTTTTAAAAGGTTCCATATTACTGTAGCGATGCCAACGTTTCCAAATCATGAAACTTTTAACCAGACTAGTAGGTAAATTAAAAGGATTACACGGCGCCTCTGTAGAAAGAGCTAGAATATAACAGTAGACTTTGAACAGTAGGCATTATGAATACTGTGCTGTCTTGCCAGTAGTTCTACTGCAAAAAATAACACAGAAATGTTAAAATGCAAGCACGAATGAAAGAAAAAAAAACAGCATACAATTGGCACTTTGTTTTAAGGTATGAGTCCACCAAGAGTGAAACAAACTGATTAAATAAACTTTGGTGGGATGAGGAGAGGTTGGGAGCTGAAAAGCCTGATTTGAGTTGAGTCCCAGGGATCAGCAGGTGAAACGGTTAGAGAAGTAGACACTCAGGGTTTGCTTAAAGGAAAAAAAAAATGCAGGAACAGGGGCCTGGCTTACTAAACTGCCGGTCTCCCCTTTCATGGCCGAGGGGCGTGTTTAAAGCTCCTTGCACCTCTGACTTGTAGCTGACACAGAAATATGAGTGCTATGTGGATTTTGAGAATGTCCCTTTGAGCTGAATTCTCAGTGAGATCCATTGATTCAGCAGGAGAGATAAAGCATTCCTAGTCTGCACAGCAAAGGGCTGTCTCTTCTACTCCAGCCTGCTGCTGGAGCCATGGAAAGCTTTCTTTCAGTAGCATGTGTGATTTAAGAGCCTTGCACACTGATGGGAAATATTTCAGTGTCTTGTAGAACTCCTCAGACTTTTTTCTTTAGCTGGACGTGATAAGTTTGCAGTGTGTTGAACATGTGGCCAGCTGGCACTCAGACTGAGACCCACGGGATGAGACCAACTCCCCTCTACCCTGACTCATTTCACACTATGAATCTGTTAAGGAACACAAAAGGCCATTGCCAAAGATAGAGCCATTAGACAGAGCATATGACTGGTGTAAATTGAGAAGCTTTTAAAGCATGTACTGAAATATTTTTGTCTGACACTTTATTGGCATTTTTAAAAGTCATTATCCTCCCTGCTGAAACAGTGCAATAGTTATAAAGGATCTCTGGCATTCTTAACCTTGATAGAGAGGATGCTGCATATAATCAACTAGTGTGTGAACTAGGTAGGGCTTTCTAAACCTACAAGGGGAAGGGTAGTTATAAAAGATCTTTGGCACCCTTCACCCTGATAGGGAGGATGCTGCATATAATTGACTGGCAAAGTGTGTAAATTAGGTAGGGCTGTCCCAACCTACAATGTGAAGGATAGTTAATGGATCCTTGGCATCCTTAACCCTGATAGGGAGGACACTGCGTATAATCAGCTGAAAACGTTATAAAGGATCTCTCGCACTCTTAACCTTGATAGGGAGGATGCTGCATATAATCAATTAGTGTCTGAATTAGGTAGGACTGTCTGAAAATACAACGGAAGGGTAGTTATCAAGGATCTTTGGCACTCTTCACCCTGATAGGGAGGATGCTGCATATAATTAACTGAAAAAGTGTGTGAATTAGGTAGGGCTGTCCAAACCTACAATGTGAAGGATAGTTAATGGATCCTTGGCATCCTTAACCCTGATAGGGAGGACACTGCGTATAATCAGCTGAAAATGTTATAAAGGATCTCTGGCACTCTTAACCTTGATAGGAAGGATGCTGCATATAATCAACTAGTGTCTGAATTAGGTAGGACTGTCCAAAAATACAACGGGAAGGGTAATTATAAAGGATCTTTGGCACTCTTCACCCTGATAGGGAGGATGCTGCATATAATTAACTGAAAAAGTGCGTGAATTAGGTAGGGCTGTCCAAAGCTACAACAGGTAGGATAGTTATAAAGGATCCTTGGCATCCTTAACCCTGATAGGGAGGATGCTGCATATAATCAGCTGACAAAATGTGTGAGTTAGGTAAGGCTTTCCAAACCTACAATGTGAAGGATAGTTATAAAGGATCTCTAGCACCCTTAA